GTGATGGTTACGAAAGTCGCCTCGATAGATAAGATAGAGTTAATATACATGGCTGTGGTATTTGTTTTTTGCTGAGTTCCGTAGTTTTTTGTAAATTGTCCTCCAAAGTTGTATGAAATTAAAGTCTTGAAAAGTGTCACGACAAGCCTTCGCTCGAGTGAAATTTAATTTCCGTAAAACTCTGAAAAATAAAGAGATCCGATCAAACTGATTGTGGTTTTAGTATAGGTACATGAATGTCTTACAACACACGAGAAACGAGCGAAATCCGTGTCTCAAGCAAAATCGACCGGACCGTTCTTACAGAGACACTCTCTTAATAATGCAGGGTAACATGTCTGTATTCCGTGAAATAAAAAAAAAAAAAAAACATATATATATATATATATATATATATATATATATTTATAATAAAGTTCGGATATAACGCGCGCTGTCATTGGTTGAAAGAGCGTGCTCTATGAGAGTATAGAGCATAGAACTGAGCTAAAGCTGTCACGCCATCTGCCAAATTGTACCATGATGCGACCTTTTCCGTGACTTCTTTTTAGCTTTTTTCCGATAATTGAAAGTGAAATTTCGGAACAAGCGAGCCGGCAAGTAGTAACAGAAGAACCAAAGAAAGGTTTGTAAACATACCAGGCGCCTTTATTTACGTTATTAAAACGTGGGCAGATACGAAAATCCTCAAAGGAAAAACAAAATAGACATTCCGAGTTTTAAAGATTTTAACGCTCAGTTAGATTGCAAGCTTACCTACGGTAATGAAAATCAAACACAGCCAACACTCGTATAGTATATAAAGTTCAGAGTTCAAAAACAAAACAGAACAAAATAGAAATGATGAAAAATATAACCAAACTGGCATAATTGTTAAAATTCATACTAATCATGACGGTATCTGAGCAAATATGATCATGCTGAAGTCCATCGCGGCTCACTTATCATGCCGATCTCCGGTCATCACAGTAAAGCAAGCCTCAGAAACTACATCGGCCGCCCTTCGAGTTAAAAAGTAAGAGCTCGCTCTGATATCCTTTCCAATGTGTTGAGTGGAAAGTCACTTCAGTCATTGCAGCCGAGTTTTGCGGCGCTGTCATCCCGAGCGATCTTCATGTTCCGGTGAATTCGGCCGTTGTTCATTTAAAAAACACTCGCCTTAAACAGTTTGTTTTCTACCTTGTCATGTGAAAAAACCCGCGTGTTTTTATGAGCCATAATTCGGCTGAAGTCCACTGAACATTTCACTTCAAGATTCTGAATTAAAAACTTCAGGCAAAAGTGTTAAATTCGACCTGCCGAATTATTTTGGTTTGTAAACTATCGCAGAGTGTGAACTTTGATGGTTTTTGAACTTTGATGGTTTGACACTTTTGACAGCTTTTGTCTTGTACAGCCAATCAGATTATTTGAACCATTCTAACAGGGATTCTGATTGGCTTATTGTAGCGTGCTCTATGAGAGTATAGAGCATGCTGACGACACTGTTCTTCGCTTTGGAAATAAAGTTTGTTTTGAAAATTGAAAGTAATACATGGGGAATTTAACGGATTCTTTATTATAAAACAAATAGAGAAGCCTTGACTGTGCTCTGTTCTGTTATAAATAAAGCACTTAGGAAGCGGCTAGAGCACTCAAGAAGTGGGGAGAAACACTCGACTACGTCTCGTGTTTCTCCCTACACTTCTTTCGTGCTCTAGCCGCTTCCTGTGTGCTTTATAACAGAACAGAGCACAGCCAAGGCTTCTCTATTTGTTAAATATATATATATATATTTCAAATACTTAACTACAAGGGCAGGAGCCCAATTTAATGGCTCCTGACAAGGGCCAGTTTATGGATTACAGAAAAAATTAACAAAACGGTGGAGTACATTTTATCAGTTTTCGTGCTCTTTACAGCAGCCAATTTGCGTTATCAACTCAATTGACTACATTACCCAGTTCTGCTCTCCCACCGACGCATCACCACAGTTTCTTTAGAGACATTCCCCCTTTCTTCTCTTGATGCCTTGGTGTGATATGATACCAGCTGACTCATAGGAGCGCGGGCTCGTTTTCCGAACCCTTGTTTTGCCTGGAGACCTTGGGTCACACGAACAGTACGTCACCTATTAGCCACAGAATCCTCGCGTGCCAAAGAAATCCTCACGTGTTCGCGCACATGATCAGTCGTGAAAAATGTTGGGACAACCGCAAGTTAACAGAATCTTGGTTCGCACGATCGACAGAAGCTATGTTTGCACTAGTGTCTGCTCAAATCAATTACCAAAATGATTCAAACTTTCCTTAATGATTTCAAATGTTCTTTTCTTCTGCCTCCAGAACTTTGAAAATAATATTCCGTTGAAAGATAACAAGAAGAAGAAAGGCGTGAATCCGGCTTTCGATTTCAAGCAATACTTGAAAAACCTGTTTCAATCTTCCGTTTCTTCCTTTTGTAAACGAGGTATTTTTTTGCGATAATCCATTCACGACTTATTTTCTTTAGCGGCTGGACTGTTTTCCGTTTCGCATGCTGTACAGTCCATCGAGATCTTCTCTCCCTTAAGCTATGCCGTCAAGTCAGGATGAGGTATGTTTGTATCGAATCTGTCTCACCATTTAGAGAATCTCACACATTATCATTTGCCGGCAAACATTTCAGGCACTGTATTCGGCACCTCTGATTATTATGATGCTACTCTTAAAGTGAGAGTTTTGCCAAATCAAGAACGCTTTCGAAGACATTGAACGCATCAAAGAACAAGGGATTGTCGCATTCTAGTTAAATACACCGCTTATTTTTTCAGTTTCTTCCCACAGACGAAACCACCGGTTATATTTGCTATTTATAAAAGGCAAGCGAACGAAGGAAAAAAACAGACATACTCTGCGGCTGCGATCCTTCAATGTGTGCAATATCGGCTCTTTATTTGAAAATATCGTGAAATGGAAATTGTACATTCGCATGTGTGTTGTACACGCGATTTTCCTTTTCAATACGGGGGATTCCACTCTTCGCGTCGAGCTCGAGGTTCGATTTTTCCTTATTTTCTACACCAGAGGGTTCTTGCTTATTCAAATATCTGTCGATCTTCCTTGTCTTTGGAAGCCAAAAGGTTTCTGCGACCTGTGTGTCCTCTCGGATCGAAATCAATGGCGCTTTGAACAAAGATGTTAAATTCGAAGAAACATAATATCTTTAAGCTTGACACTGAACTTGCGATGCGCTTAAGATGATTTCCGATATAAAAAGTGAAATGATTGGTTTCGAAAACGTACCACAAGCTTGGAACTGATAGGAAAAGCGAGGTTCTAGAGATTATAATTTTGGGTTTTGATATTAGATTGCGACGATCTTGACTCGCTTTGTTCGACTATTCGAGCCAAATAGATCAGTACCAGCTGGTAGACAATTAAAAACCCGTAAAAACCTCAAAGATCCCAAGCGTATCGTTTCAGTTGTCAGAGACGCTTAGGGCATTTTTTTGTTATCTTTAATCCGACAGAGCTTTATGTCGTATTTCTAAGGTGTAACGAAACATTTTACCACTGGTAAATGAAGATTCGAAAATTTATTTCAAATTTTCTTGTGTGGATGCAAATAAGGATTGAATAACAATTGGCAGGTTTCTCAATGTAAATATTTATAAGTCGTCTTTAGTTTTATGGTTCATTCCACGGTTGTTTTGAAAGTGTTCACCGTCAAGAAATTATCAGATGGTGGGCCACAAAATTCTCTAAGAAACAATGGCGCTAGGTTGATGGCTGTGGTAACCGGAATATATCATATTCTTTCCTTTTTTTAAATTAATTTATTTGGAGCGCTTGTGTCCATATCGTGACAACTGACTCATTGTTCACAGCTTGTTACATAACAACAGCAGGAATTATTTTCTTACTTATAATTTTCAACTGGTGACCACAGCTGACGTCGGAATGTAAATCACCCCAGGTAATTTAAATGAAAGTCAGCAAGATAAGCCCTCTATTCGAATTTTGTTAACTTCAACGTAGCCAACGGCTTTTGTTGCGAGATAAATCGATTCATGCAACACTCCTTCTAAGAGGCAACTAATACTGACAATAATACAGCTGCTTGTCTTTCAACAGACGCCTTTGCCATGGGGCAATATCTGCAGTAACTACCCTTTTTCGGTGTGATTTGTTTTTATGATTCCGATTCCCACATTGTTTTTGGGATTTTGATCACACACTTCTCTTAGACAAAGATGTGTTTTCTCGCAAATTGGGTTATTAAAAGCCGCACCATCAAAGAAGGTTGAAAATTATTTGTCAGCACTGTCACTGCTTCCCCTAACCTTTTGGCCTTGCTGCGCTTTTTTTTTTTTTTTCCGTTTTCTACCAAGGTTACTATGATTTAAAGGCTCTGTTTGTAGGGCTTCCGACCGGTGATGCTTAAGAGAACTCTGTTATATTTCGCCCGTAACCAAGTTAGTGTACTTATCAGAAGCGAAATCGACTTTGTTCTCAGACACGTGAGAGGAAACGTGAGCCTTTTAAATCACTCTTGGGTATCACAGAAGGAAATTGAATTAACACGCAAACTGAAATAACATGCAAACTATATGTGGTATTCCTCTAGAAGTATACATTACCTATCTTACCTAATTTACCTATCAGGAGCGAAATCGCCTTTGTTCTCAGGCACGTGAGAGGAAACGAGCCCTGGCTGGGGTCATTGTGTTGTGTTCTTAGGCAAGACACTTTACTCTCACAGTGCTTCTCTTCACCCAGGTGTACAAATGGGTACCAGCAAATGTGCTGGGGGTAACCCTGCGCTGGACTAGCATCCATCCAGGGGGAGTAGCAATACTCCTAGCCGCTTCATGCTAAGAAAACTGGAGTTAAGCACCGGCCCCATGGGCCACTTGGGCCCGTATAAAGGCTTTTTTTTTTTTTTTTTTTTTTTAAACAAAACGTTGACTTTTTTCAGCTATGGGAACGTGACCTGAACATATTGGATTAAAATAAAGCATGTATGGGATTTGTACCTTGACGCTTATTCTTTGATCTGATTATTTTAACTTCAAAGAAACGCTTTTGAGCAAGGTTTTTACTAAAGACACTTTACCTCAAAAAGTAAGAAAAGACTCAAAAATCCCAGATTTCCTGTTAGAGTTCATTATATTTCTGACAATTGACCTAATATCGGTCGAGAATAAATTCTTAAAGGTTCATGATTCAAGCCAAGGAAAAGTGACTTAAATTTTTTTTCGGTATTTGTTAACGGAATGGTGATTCCACTTAGCGGCTGTGAGCCTGTAATGCGATCACATCAATCTCGTACCTTCCCTTCTCTCTGACTGCATTTTGCCTTAAATCTCTTAGAGTAAAAAAAAAACACCCAAATATAATTTTCAGAAGTTGATATATCTTTATTATTCTCTATTTGTTTATTTATTTATTTTGTTTGGAAAGATGATTGCTCTCCACGCTCGCGCACATGCGCATTAAACATTAACCGGTATATTTTCTTTGACATGACTTAGTGACGTCGATCACTTTTATGACGTCACAACAGCATTTTCATTTCGTTACTTTACTCGCAGTTAGTTGCGGTTGACATGGATGAAGGAAGCGAGGCTCCCGGCAATGGCGGCAAGACCGCGAAAACTCTGACATGCGTTACAAAGGTCTCTCCTTATCAAGATAGCTGTTGGTCGTGGCTGGTGTGTTTTGCCGCAGTCTTGTCAAATGTTATCATTTGCGGATTCACGTATAGTTTTGGTATCTTGTTTCCTGCTCTCTTGGACGAATTTCAGCAGGGGAAAGCTAAAACAGGTACGCTATGCCTTAAATTAGTTAAGGAGCGAAGAGGCGAATCTACGAGCGCGTGAGAAAGCCTGTGTTGTGATTAGTGGGGTGATTAAAAGCTGGAAATTATAACCAGCAAATGTAAGCATCGAAATGATTGTTGAACAAGACCACAAGGGAGGAAGGAAATGGTCGAGATGCCGAAACAATAACGCAACCAGCTGACCGATTTCAGGGTTTGCCTAATGATTCACAAGCTGGATTTCCTTAACTTAACTCAATAAACGGGGGGAAGGATGCTAAATTTACCTGTTACGTTATTGATTATTCGTGAATACATTTAAGCAGTGCGTGTTTTTCTTTTAAATTTTGACATATCTGGACTAAATTGTTACAGGACGTGGTGTCATCCACCTCTTTCTGGGATCTAACTTGTGATTCACAGACTGAATAAAATTCTTATTACGAACATTTATCAACAATTCTCTATGTTCTTTCCCTAATTTGCAATTGGGTGTATGAGTCATATCATTAGTTATGATTCAAATCCTTCTCCTTTTTTTTACTCTTCAGCTTGGGTAGGCTCAATTGCCATGATGGGCGTTGGACTTTTTGGACCTTTAGTCGGAAACCTTTATCATCGTCTGGGTGCGCGAATTGTGACATTTTCCGGGACAATAATTTGTGCGGCTAGTCTCATTGTGACGTCAAAAGTGACAAGTCTCTACGTCATGTATTTTACTTACGGATTTTTGTTTAGTTTTGGCTCCTGTGGTGTATTTATACTGACCTACATAATGGTACCTAAGTACTTTACAAAGTGGCGCTCGCTTAGTTTGGGTCTTATTGCCATGGGGCCCGGTGGAGGTTTGTTTATTATGAGCCCAATTGTGCATGAGCTCTTTAAAGCGTTTGGCTGGAGAGGGACATTTTCAGCAATGGCCGGTATTGTAGTTGTGACAAGTGCTCTGGCTTTTGTTTATAAACCAATAGCCGAGTCTAGCAAAATGGAACTGAATTCACAGCAAAAGGAGAATAACAAATTCTGGGACATTTCAATCCTCAAACACAAAGAATTTGTTCTTTGTACAACTGCCGCTGTCTTGTTTTACACCGGGCACTATACTCCAACAGTCCATATGGTAAGTTTCAAACCATCGTGATCACATGGTCAAATCTTCATTAGCCAAGTGAGGTTGAAGCATATCCCACGTATTACTTCAAAATTTAATATTAATTTAAAGGGGAAAAAAATTTTAATCCCTTCGCCAATGTTAAAGAGCAACGAAGGGATAATAGAGTATATATATTTATTTTGTGTGCATCGCTTTAAAATCATTTTGGTGAGTGAGTAGGGTTACACACTCCTCACCTCCTATATTTTTCCTGAAGTAAGTTTTCATTGGCCTGTTTCTTTAGAAAGTCCTGGTTGCTGAGCTGACTCAGAGCCGTATTTTAATATCTTGTTATAATAAGGACCCGGAGAGCTGGTCACGGCTTAATACCCGTCCACTGAGTTTCTTTCTCGGGTGGGAACGTGGCAACAAAAATGCAAGCGCAGCACAAAATGTGGGACGGTGAACGTGTAACGATTTTCCTTCTGATAAAAGATCTTCTAGGAAAAAATTGACACAAAGGCCTTGTGTAAGAGGTAAAGACCTCTTAAACTTTTAATTGGCTATCGGTAAAACCTGCTCAAGAAAACACTGAGCTAGTATCAAATGAAAACGACGCGTTATCATGGACGATTAACCCTGATGGCTCCTAGATCTGTAAATATATATTTCTCTCTCCATTTGAACAGGTCCGTTACTTGGAGGAGAAGGGATCTACAGAAGTGACAGCTTCACGTTTATACATTTACAGCGGAGTAGCTTCCTTACTAATTCGACCTGTGATTGGTCGGTTAAATGACGTTTCATGGATAAACATGTTGTACATCTATTCCATAGCTGCCAGTCTTGAAGGGGTCTCCACCTTGCTGTTTCCCATGGCAACAACGAATATGCACTTTATAATCTACTTCGTGGTATATGGTTTAGCCGATGGAACACTGGGTTGTGGTTTTGCCATTGCTGTGTTGAATAGTCTTCCAGAAAGGTTAAAACCTCTCGGATTCGGGCTTTACAACTGCCTTAGCTGTATATCCTCAGCTTGTGGTCCTGGTCTGGGAGGTATATCAACTTTCATTTAATTTTAACACTGCGTACCAGAGAGGGAAAATGAGGGAAAAACGAGGGAGGTTCTTGGTTCAGACCTCAGAGTAATATGTCAATTCCATATAAGTTGTTAATAATTTCGGGAACGAGAGTGTGTGTCGTTTTCTTAGGATTCCTCACGAGGCGAGAAACATTTACTGAAAAACTAGTATAATTTGGTTTTATCATTTGACTTGATAGTGTAAATTGGCTTCCTGTAGAGTATCAAATCTGACGATTCGAGCATTGGTCTCTCACCATACGCTTTGACGAATTGCTAATGTTCAAACGTCAGCTTAAGAAACTTTTTTTGCGGTGGCCAATTTGCATCGTAAACTCGGTTGGTAAATCTAAACCATCTTGTAATAACCCCTCCCCGATGCGGCACCATCGAGTTCCTTTAGAAATTTACTCCCTCAATTCATTTAGTGAATAGTAGACAAGCGAGCAAAGGCTAAAATGCTTGTAGCGACGATCTCGTGTGTGCATGCCAATGTGAATGTGTACCATAATGCCCTTTGTAATCAAACGAGAACGATTTATTATTCTTAGTTATGTTCTTTGCTAACAAATCCTTGTTTATTTGCATTTACGAATTTTTTTCCACAAACACTTGCGTCAAGACTCGAGTCACCATTTCCAGCTACATCGAACATTAGAAAAACAATGCAAGGCTTAAATTCCATGAGGTTGTCTGTCTATGGGCCAACCTGGCAATCACCTGATGTTCACAATAACTCAAAGACTGAGGGTTAACCGTTCGCCATAAACAGTCGAATATTGAACCGTTAAGCTTAAAAACTGACACTATTATAACTGTTCCCCGTAAAAAAAAGTTATTGTTACCAACATAGCCTATCTACAAAGTGTTATTTTAAGACGGTCAAAATCTTAGACTGTTTCATGTACATCATATTTCTATACTTGGTGATATTGTTACTGAATTAGTAGGCCACATATATTGCTTCTTTTTGCTTTCTTATCTCAGAATTGAAAGTAAGCGACTGGTCTTAAATGTTTTTATGTTTTATTTTTAAAACGATGAAAATTAATTATCAAAATTTTAAAATAAGTTGGAATTAATTTTTAAAATTCTGATTACAATTATGTTAAGAAATTAACCGTTAGCCGTAACATTTTGACCGTTGCTGTAAAAGCTACTACCTCACCAAGACACTCAATACACATTGGAGAAGTTTTGGGAATTCTACGTTATACCTTTGATATAGCTGTGATTGGCTTCTCTTGATGAATTTGTTAATTTGTTTTCAAAGGTCTCGTGTCCGACTTTTAGACCGTTAGCCGCTAAAATCATTACTCTATTGATACCCTCATTTAACATTGAACTTAGTGCTAAGTAGCCTAAGTTATACCTTTGATATAGCTGTGATTTGCTTCTCTTGATGAGCTTGTTTATTTGTTTTTCAAAGGTCTTGTAGCCGATATCGAGGGTTCATACACCCCAGTATTCTACATGGTTGGTGCCATAATGCTAGCGGGGTCAGCTATAATGTTTGCTGTATCTTGCAAGAGGAAACCCCCGCCTGAAAAGCTGGTCGAGAAGGAGGAAGTGACACTGTGGGAATCGCTGATAGTTGTTGAAAAGTGCTCTGTTGTTTAATTTCTTGTATCATTGATTGGGGCTTGATTGAATTGTAATAGAGGTCGGGGTAGAGTGCCATCTGAGTATAACCTTACCTGTGGGTGCTCGAGCTGCGTGATGAGAACAGTGTCGCAATTCATGTTTTAATCACTACCAACACTTCAGGGAAATCCTAAAATTTTGAAGGAAAACATGCTAGAGAAATGGTTGGAAGATTCAGGCGACTTACTAGAAAACTGTCTATTGACCCTCACAAAAACGAGAACATTCACGTTTAAGAATAAAAGAGCTTAGTTTCTAAAGAAACCACGGTGTGCTGTGTTGGTGGTGGGGGAGGGGGGGGGGGGTCGGGTATAACAATATAATTTGGTTTTATCAGCTGTGTTGATAATGTAGATGGCCACCGTATAGAGTTATTATGGCTGACTTCTCATAGCATAGCGTTACTTCGACGATAAACGGCACAAATTTAGCTTCACGCCGGACGCCTTCATCAGTTAATACACTAATTATGATCAATGCACGTTTGTATTTCGTATAAAAAAGACACTCAGATAGTTTTCTACAGAGCTTTCTTTTGAGAATTGCAGAAAAAAAATGATAGAAATAAGCTGAGGACAATTTTTTTTCTGTTTCCTCTTGATGCATTGACATGAAGATTGTTGATTCATACTCCTCTCCTGGTTACAGCGATAACGAGACCCCAGGCTTACTGTAGTCATTCTAGCTAGTTTAAGGGACTACATCCTTTGAAAATTTTTGTATGCGCGCATTGATTTTCGCCAAGGGTAAGTATCACTTCTCCCAAAGATATCATGGAATCCGTGGTGAATAAATTTGAATTATTTAAAGCTGTAATAAGCTTGATTACGACTGCTATAACTTATGAAGATCAATTAATAAATCAATTTGATGTCGTGGCATATAAGTATGGTATCCTGCTTCTATTTTCATTTCATGTTTGTTTTGAATGGTCCTGGGTTGCTATTCAAGGCAGGATAAAGGCATTCTGTTACGTCATGGCTCACAAGACGCTGGTGAAGTTAGTTTGACATTCCCATGCAAACCGGGAATGAAGTCACTCCACCTCAGAAAGTTACCGACTCCAAATGTACAATTTGTGGACATGATGGTTATTTCTTCAGCCGTCAGTACTCTATCCCACATATTCACGCCATACATCTGGCCAAAGAAGCTTTGCTCTTGCTCAAAACCTCCACCAAATTCATCTTGATCCTGTCCCAAGATAAAAATACCACTACTGGCGATCACTTGGCCTGTCGCAAAGTCCAGGTCACTTTCCACAAGTGAGCCATTTATGTAAAAGTTCCACGATCCAGCGGTGTTCTCCCACGCGGCACATATGTGAATCAGCTCTTCATCACCACGAGGCAAATATACATTTCTTTAAGAGGAAAAAAGTATCTAATGATATGTCATATTGATATTTTAAGGGCTTATATATCAACTTTTTTTTGTCTGCTTATCTAATTCATTGGGTTCTTTCTTAGCTCCCTGGTATTTTTCGTAACCTATACTTTCTTCGTTTTGAAGCGCAACTAGTAAAAGAGCTCGCAAACACAACGGACAAAAATATGTTGAGTACCCAGCTTAGCATCTTTTAATTTTCCTTTTAGCCAGATGGGAGAAACGTGATTTGTGAGGGAGACATGCTAGAGCATTCGGCGAAAGGGAGCAAAACTATTACATACTCATCGGCTGAGTGTAGGGGTAGATCAGGAGAATATTTGGCTCGTGCCTCATGACCGAGAGCCAGATATTGGAAATATTTGACCAACCTGACGAAACCCAGTCAATAAGTATGACAAGCATTTTATCATATGACCGTTGCTCCGTCTTTTTCTTCCGTTTTTCTTTAAGCTATTATCATGAGGGCTCGTCTGGCTTTTTTTCTCACACTGCTTACGTAATCGATTCTGTACTGCCCTCATACGGGAATTACTGTCCAAAGTTTCAAGCTGGGGTATGTCACCTCGGGAGACAATCCAACTTTACTGTTGGTGCTAGATTCTGGGTCAAGATGCCTGATTTTATTCTAGGTTAAAGGTGGATATGTTACTCCTACAACGCTTAACCTCGCGGTACTCAGAAGTGTTTTAAAAAAATCATGTGACAGCGAACCCGGCTGAGAGACCATACTAGCATCCTATTCAGAGAAGTCAAAAAGCATTATGAGGATTCCTTTCGTTCTCTTTTACGTCCTTTGATCTAAATATTTTCGGCTACCGTTTGCCGTATGCCTTCGCGTGACCTTGTTTAGCTAAAAGGAGGCAGAAAATGCGCTTGTAGGCTTCAGTTTGAGCCCATACAATTTACAACTCTCATACAATTTGAGCCCATAATAGTTGTTTACAAAGCTCCTCAGTTATCCAGTTGTCTAATTGATCGTGCAAGCAGATGATATATTATCGCAAAGTAACTATTACCTCATATAGCCGTATATCACAAACATCAAACTCTCGACGTAGTCGCAAATCAGAATTCCGTTTTGCTCGTCTGGTAGTGAATAACTGAAAACACAACTACTATCCAATTGAGAAGCAGGCTTCATCCATAGACACAAGGTGAAAGCGTTAAGCGGAGAAAAATCACTATCCATATAAAATTGTGCGTAATCTGAGACGGATTTGTCGTCAAAAGAAAGCTGGAAGTTTGATGCAGGATCTGCAAGATAAGTTATGACTGTAGGTTGTCCTTCTCAAAGAAAGATCATTTTAGGGACTTGAAAGAAGTTGAGCGGCACCGGTTGTTTCAAAGGTACCATGATTACAAGAAGAAAATTATAATTAACTTGATCCTTTTTTTCGTATGTTTTTGTTGTTGTTGTTGTCGTTATTATTTTTCTATGTATTTTTCTACTTCTATATCTACGTCTTTGTAAGTTTGGAGGATTTTGGTTGTGTTCCCATAATATTTATTTGATTTTCCCTCCCCTGAGGCTCTGTTATATCCATATGAACATGAACCCCCCCGCCCGGTTGGCACTTAATTAGCAGTCAATATCCTATAATCCACCTCCATGTCGGAGAAAGACGACTGATCCCCTTCCATTGCCCCTGAAAACCATGTGATCTACCCAAAATCCTCCATACTACTCCTCCCCACTCCCCCCTCTGCGTCGATAAATTAACAAGGCTCAGGCAAGTGGACTAATAGAAAGAATGAAAGAAGCACCCTATCTTTATTACTAATAAATTTAAGGCGACTCACCTTCTCGGTTCATGTCACAGTAAAACAAAAATGGCTTTCCACTCTCATTTGGATCCAACCAGTATTTAGTGCTGATGATGTCAGGACCTTCGCTCGCCTTCACTTCCTGGCAAGATGATGCTGCCAATTCTGGAATGGAACCGAGGGGAACTGAAAGCCGATGGACGTGCGGATAAATCAATTAATTCATGCTGTTAATCGTGATTTACTTCATTAACTCAGACAGCATATGACTCTAGAAATGATAGTACTATTTCAGTAGTCGAAAGATGTATTGGCGCTTTATTTCATATAACCCGCAGTGTTTTTGGCTCCATCGGAGAAAGTAGATATTACGCCGTTAGCAAATGCAAATGACTGAAGATCGAGACGCATGAAATGAACCCTTTCAATATCTGGAGTTCCATTCGCGTAATTCAACTGAGAATGAAGTAAATACCTTCTTAGAGACGCATACTATAGTTTGTTTTTGGCGGGGAGTGGGTGAAGGGTGTTACTCAAAATTACTCAAAGGCTAAAATCAAATGAATTTTTGTCCGATGACTTGCAGCGTGTTGAGCTATAAACTATAAAATGAACAAAAGGGGTAAGTCTCTAAAGAAACTGTGGTGCTGCGTCGGTGGGACTATAGTTTATCAACTGTTTTTTGGTCGTAAAGAGTTTCAGAACGATTGACGAAGGGCTAACGCTCGAAATGTCGGCTTTGATTCTCTTTACAGAGGCCAATTTAGGCTATCAACTCAGTTGAAAATACTAAACTCCCTATAAACTATAAAAACTTGTTTTCATTTACTCCCAAAGGTTATACGTTTTAGGACTTCTCAAAGAGTACTTTTTACGACCATATTAAATTCGTTTCAGTCGAGAAAAAAAAAATCTATTTTAGGAAAGTTTTTACCTCTTTCAATTAATCTTCTGATATAAAACCACGAAGTGTTGGAGCGAAGATTTTCAGGTCTTGCTTCTTTGGTTCGGTTGTTCAGTTCACAAATGTTCTTCTCCATGTGGTAGTTATAACTTTGGCAGGTTATTTCACCTAAGCATTTGGCATCGCACCTGCTCGGAGCTGTGACTGTCATGTTCTTAAACACAAAACCTCTCAGAGCGACACCGGGCATGTTCACTTCTGTCCTGCATTGATTCTCAGCAGTTACGAGGCTCAGGTGAAAGGTGAAGAGAAGAAGAGAGTGAAACATACGCGGCATTTTTCCTACTGAATCGACCATAAACAATAGTGTTAAATATTTAGTTTTGCAAATTATTCTGTTGTTTACATCCACCTACACTGGAGTGTCAGTTGCTTAGTTTATCTAATAATTTCATCATTAACATCCACTTGCGCAGTCAGACAGTTAGGCAGGCAGGCAGGCAGGCAGGCACTCTATCAGCTAGCTTGGCAGACAGGCAGTGAGTCAGATAGGGAGGTAGGTTTAAGTCAGTTAAGCAGGCAAGCACGCAGGCAGAAAGGCAGGCGAGAAGCAGGTAGACATTAATGTGATCAATCTGTTTGTCGGTCGGTCGGTCTGTCTCTCTGTCTGTACGTCGTAAATTTAGTACTTTGGTCAGTAATTTGATCAGTCATGGATGAGTCAGCCTGTTTGTCTTTCGGTCGGCTGTAAGTCTTTAAGTCAATCTGAGTGAAGAATCTTTCCAATTCGGAGTCTGTGTCTTGCTCGACTGATACTTGTCCCTTGCCCCAAGCGCATTAGTCCCTTTCAGAGTTTAGAGTTTCGATCATAGTTGAATGATATCGGCAGATATAACAAATATATTAAAAGTTAAATATTAAGTGATATGAGATATGATATTCAAACTGAGATACTGTACCTCATTCAAAGTCCTATCCTAACCAAACGCCCAAAAGACAGCTACATGACTTTATGTGTGACAATACGGACTAAGAAGTGTTTAATGAGCTGTCAGAAGGCTTATGAAAATTTGCTTTCGCATTAAAATTTAAAGCTAGCATTACCATACTGCTAATTTTTCGTGAAGGCAACTTTCCGTAGAATATCAGACATCTTGCACGCAAACAAATAGCTGAAGTATTAATCATTTTGAAATTCTTTTTTCAATCCTGTGTTTAAGAGGGAGAATCTAAACTGGCTAACGAGTAGAACTTTTCATTGAAAGCTGTAAGACACGAAATGATTCTGCCGTGGAACTGAAAGCAAAGATGAAATTAAAAAATAATGAACTAGAGGGTGAAACCACATAAAATTTATACAAAATAATTACATTTAGCCTTAGTTAATCTCTTGCCAGATTAAAGAGATATAACCAGCTACATCATTCCAAAGACACACACGGTCTCTTTACGTCATTTTCTTTAGTTATTTGATCTGACTTGCCAACGATACGATCTATATCATTTATAAGCAAAGAACTCTTATCATCCAGAAGGTGGTAGTATACTAGAACAGATTCAAACAGTGTTCAATTGTTTGAGCTATGAAAAGCGTGCAACACAACAATAGCTAGAATTAAGGTGCAAATTATACTTCTAAATTAGCTTAGTAATTAAACTTCTCCTAATGAGAATGATGGTATTAATTTTTTACCAGACGCGTTCGTTGTAAACCTTATTTTCAGTGAGGCCTTGTTAAAGAATATATATCTATTCCAACGATAGAAATAAACACGCAATACATAAAGAAGCTAAGAAAATTACTAAAATAGCTTAATGATGAGAACTTAGGATACCTAAGTGTTACAAGTTATTACAACAGATATAATCGAAACGGCAGAGTATAAACACTTTAACTCCCATGAGTGGCCCTTGCAACATACATACAATATCAAGCAGGGAAGTAATGAGAATAAAGAAAAATATCAATCAGGGGATTATTATTAGTTGATCAAAAACCAAGTTCTCCAAATTAACATCATAAGAATTGCATACCAGAAAGTAATTAAGTTGGAGATCTTGGGTGTGAAATGGTTGAGGTCGAGAAATAGATATTTTCTATTTCATGAGATCCAGTTTTGGGAGTGAAACTGCTAAAGCCGAGAAATGTATATTTTCTATTTCATGAGATTCAGTTCAATGAGATTCAAATCCGATATAAACCGCAGAAAAACCGCCACAAGGGCTCAAAAAACCCTAATTTCGTTCAACAAAGTGGATATTTTTTGAAAGAGAAACTGGTCAGGAATGATTCAGCTGAATTTTTTGAAATTTTTTTTCAATAAAACATCTCTTCTTTAGTTTTAAATTAGTTAAAGGACTTACATTGTCGAGAATAAGAGAAGCAAGAGCGAATTAACGTAGATCTGTGATTAGGATGATTTTTATTACAATACGTTTACACTAATTTTTTCTCGTGAAAAATTACTAAGAAAAATGGTGCTCGGAAATAGCTACATGTCGCATATCCATCATAACGGACAGTTCCCTAAACATCTACTCGTTTACAGTTTCATTAAGAGTAAAACATGCCCGATTTCCCCTTTTATGTTGTCGTAGCGGTGGTCGCACGAAGCCGGCTCCCGCGTTGTTCATTCCTGTTCCGTATTTTGTTCCACTGGTACGCAAGATATTAAAAGGTGTAATAAAATATTCGACACAGAAGTGTATGCTTGGTTAACTTGCACTTGTATTCGAAATTGGTTTAGGAAACTTTATCATCATATTATCATCAACAAAAACACTTCTGCGTACTTGGAAATCACCTTATGGGTGGCAAGTAATTGGAGATGTAAGGCTCACATTTCCGTTTAAACTTGATGTGAAATGGCTCCAGCTCATGAAATTGCCGACTCCATAAGAACAATTTTTCGACAATTCATAAATTTCCTCAGCCGTCAGAGCTCTCTTCCACATATTCACCCCGTGCATTTGACCAACGAAGCTTTGTTCCTGCTCAAATCCTCCACCATAGTCATCTTGATCCTGACCCAGAATAACAATGCCATTACTGGGGATCACTTCATCTGTCAGAAAATCGCTGCCACTTTGAAGAAGTGAGCCGTTCAAATAAAATTTCCACGATCCAGCGGCGTTCTCCCAAGAGGCGCATATGTGTAGGAATACGTTTGCACTATGAGGCACATCTATATCACTAGAAGAGGATTAGCTTATTAATAATTATTTATACATAAGTATCTGTAAATACTTGATCACACTAAGCTGATTTATTCCTTAGCTTTGTGGGAGACACAGTAACTCTTGCATTTTTGTTGGGCAAGATTCTATACTCTTTCTATGCTTCTCTTCATCTGGGAGTTTAAATAATTACTAGGAAACTGCACGAAAAATTTATGACAGGTTTGAGGGAAGAGTGGGTGGGGTGATTGTGGGGATGCATATCAGGGGCGATTCGGGCGAATGCGTTGCGTAAGAGGGTTGAGGATTACTTTCTATAGATAAATACTCCATTTAGAACGGGTAGCATTGCTCATAGTCGCTTCGCACTTTGGAAACCAAGATAGACTCTGATGGAGCGACCCTAGTTCCTAGTTTTTGCGTGCTCATGTTACCAAAGGCTCCTGTAGACAGATCTGATACAAGTGTTTTTAAAGGTGATTCATTGTCAATTACAAACAAATGAATTGATTCCGTATCATTAACCTCACATCGGCTTTAGCAAAAAAAACTTTCGCAAATCCGAAATGTTAACACTTTTCCTTTTTTGACCGCGGGCACGCAATGAAAAAAGACAGCGGTTCTGCACATCATCAACGCTATAAATCAGTTTAGGGACCATTTATTATCCATCGCCTAGGAGACTGGGGGAGATTGGAAATTCTTTTTTTAGAGGGAGGGGGGTAGGGAGCACATATCCCCCTCTTGCCATTTGTATAATGATCTGATACAAGTGTTATCAAATGAAAGGGAATTTTATTCATGTTGCTAAAAAAAACCTGAGTCCGTATCTCTTACCTTACGTCTCCTTTAACACCAAAAATGAATTGGTCAACGTAGTCGCAGATTAAAATTTCGTTGGCTTCTTCTGTTAGCGAGTAGCTGAAAAGGCATCCACCATACGAAATGTTGACATTTTTCGACCACAAGCACACAGTGAAAGCCGTCAGCGGTTCTGCACAACTTTGAACATCCAGGCTCACGTAATTTGTCACGGCCTTGCTTGAAAAAGTAAGCTGGAAATCTGTCAAATTGGCGTCTAAAATCAAACCGGGTAAAAAGAAAAAAAAAGAAAAAAAAATTATGTAAGAAGACTTACGTAATTATCAATGAAGAAAAAATGATAGGCAAAGTTTCTATTTGTCAGGGAACCATCTGGAAAGGTTCGCTTTGGTTTATGGGAACTTTTAACGTCTTAAGGGAGAATAAAAAGACAGAACGTGATTCCTGACTTACTGTGACATTTTTAGTGGTAAAGGAAAAAAAAACCATAAATGGAGTAAGAGTGAGGTAAAATGGTAGGATGCCCCTGGGCCATATCAATTATATAAATTACATTCAAACAGGTAAATTCAAAGTAAATTCTATGGCCATATTCTTAAGTCGTTGTGATGTTGCTCGCTCCACAAGCCTATTATACGTTATCAAAAAGGGATTTCATCCATACGTTCATTTTGGTCACTTTCTTATTCAATTGTTCATTGGTGATGATCAAATTCCACAGTGCGTTTCTCGTTCACGCTGACCTTGGCGAAAAAAAAAATGCAAATTTACAGTAATAATTTTCCTTGCGATATTTTTGATGGTGTCCAAAATAAGCGCCCTTTCTGAGCTCACAGTCTTCTGTTGCATAAGGCAAGGTAAGGCACAAAGCGGTGAGTAACCGAGAAAACTTTATCAGGTAATTAAATTATTGAGCTTGGTGTTATTTGTAATGGTAATAGGATTTAGTGGAGTCCAACTCGGTCTGTAATCATATCACCTTGCGATATTTTTGATGGTGTCCAAAATAAGCGCCCTTTCTGAGCTCACAGTCTTCTGTTGCATAAGGCAAGGTAAGGCACAAAGCGGTGAGTAACCGAGAAAACTTTATCAGGTAATTAAATTATTGAGCTTGGTGTTATTTGTAATGGTAATAGGATTTAGTGGAGTCCAACTCGGTCTGTAATCATAGGGGTGATAACGCGGGGTCGTCCGATTTGTTTATCACGAGTATATATGAACGGAATTGGACAACACGAAGTCTTACTACCAATTAATCATGAAAATTATAAGAAAGGGAAAATTTGCTTCAAAAGACTGACGATGGAGGCATAAATTGTTTAATTGTTTGATGGGTTGATTTAAACTACAACTTTGAATGTGATTGGCTTATTGAACTGTCCGATAACAACTTGGGAAATGAATTAGCGGAAAATAGTAGTTTTTTAAACAAATCACAATCGAAGAAATTGTAATTTTTATGATTATATTTTTAATCGTAAATGGTAGTGGTTTTGAGTTGTTGGACATGGTAATAGTAATTTAAGTATACGTGAAACTGGTTACATTTATAATGATTAATTTTTGATATGCTTCTCGTTAGTTTGGATTAAGGCCCACTTCTATCAGTAAGTCCAAAATGCAAAGTTATTAACGATGTTAAGCCACTAACTGGCCATGTAAATCACTTGCACGGAAAGCAATATCTGAAGCTAGTCGATGCTTTTAAGGATTGTTAAGAGGGAAATTTAAACAAAGTAGCGCTATAGAATAAAGACAAAAGGTTTAAGGAACTCACCACCTTCTGGACAAATGCTATCGCAAGATGCATTCTGGAAAGACATAGAATCATGTTAATTTTACGCAACTAGATCGCTACCGACCAACAAACATTTACTTGTTTTAAAGACATAATTTCACAGGATTAACCAGAGAGAGTTGATGGCCAGTAATTGCTGTTTGGATCGTGATGCTGTCAGAGGTTTGAACCACTAATGTTCGAACTTACTGTGAAATAAAAATGGGTTTAATCATGATCAGTGAAGCATTCCATTTGCAGGAGTGCTCCTCTTCAGCTTGAGAATGCTTACATTTTCTCGTTCGTTTGCGCTCAATCAGCTATATGGAAAGAGCACTGTGAATGCTAGCCATTAACATGAACAATCTCAACTTACATAGTCTTCGTAGTATTTGAATCCTGTTTTTTGAATCATGTTACGGGGACACATCTTTCCTGTGGCGGCGTTAAGTTCACACAGCTGAGTCGACGGAGGCGGCAAATATTGATAGTTGTAAGATAAACATCTCTTGCGCTCAAGACAAAGGAAGTGGCAGTCTCGGTGGGAAGTAACTTGATGAGATGATATTACATGACTAGAGAGAGCATGTCCTTGGTAAAAGTAATTTGGAACAAACTGAGTGATAATATCACGAAACTTAAGGTTGATTCACCCCCCCATTTTAAGATCAGTTTCGTTCGGGTGAGAAGATCTCGGCTGCTTACAAGTGGTTCATAGTTTAATTCCTGGAGTGCAGGCAAAAGGAAAAAGTAAAGATCAATCGTAGTGAGTAAGTCGACCAGTCAGTAGGTCTATAAGTCAGAAAAAAGTTTGTCAGTTAGACAATGTGGCAATCAGGTGATGAGGCAATCGGCCGAGATACAAGCAAGGTAGTCAATCTGATAGACTATCGGTTGCTGGCCCAATCACATAGCTTTTCGATCAGTCTCAGTCAGTCAGCCAGCTAACCAGTCAGTGTTCAAAGCAATCTGCCTTACCTTCAGTGGCAACGAAGACCCTTCTTTCTGCGCACGCACGACACACGTAGACAGCCATTTCAGCCATAAGAAGGGAAAAGAAGATCGGCCTTAATGTCCTCATCTCTGTTTAGTCACTGACTACACTCTACGTTGTTCACAAGTTTCAATTTTGCATGAGGAAAAAAAGAGGAAAAAAATAAATTGCTAGCTTTAAAATAAAATTAAAAAAAAGATTCCCACGTAAAAATTTTTTAAATAAACTCCACCTCACTACAGAGCTGCTTCCATTCAATTTGCATGTTTGAGTTTGGAAAAGGAAAACTTAAGACTTTTATACTTTGGTAGATGCACGCATGCCAGATGTAAGCTGTGTCGATCGCAAAATACAAGAGGTACCAAGAGGTCCCTCTGTCGCTGATTTAACCGAAATCTGAATTAGATATGTTTTTTCAAGTGCCACGAAAATCTTACACGAGCCAATCTTTTTTTCGTCCAAAAGTTTTGCGGAAATATCGAGACGAAGTTTGTTACAATTTCCTTCACATTCGATTTATCTAGACCACATTTAGAAAAAAAAAGCTTATGTGATTCTGGTGAAGATCACTGTATCCGAAGTCTCTGCGAGCTGGCAAGATTCATGTTATTTGCATGACATTTAAATGATTTCACCATACTTTTGTTTTTCTTTCCTGAGCCAAAAAGCAGTTCTTTGCTTACCTTATTGAAGGAACGAATTATCTCAATTTTTAGTCACTTTTCTTAGATCGCTTCGCTGAATTTGACTTAAAATAGAACAAGACTTGAAAAACATTAATTAAATAAAGGTTTAAGATTTAAGATGCATAAAAGTTAAAAAGTTACGTAACATCTCTAGAGCAAAAAATCTGACAAAGAGAAACACTTAGAATTTTGAATCAATATCAGTACCGCAGGACGCCGTAAATAAAGTTGTCATATTTACAGTAGATCTATTGCATTATCGACAGAATAGGTGGTGGTAACGTTGCCCAAGCAATGGAATCCTGCTGTTCGTTACATTTCAATGAAAAACTTTAACTCTTGAAACTATGTTTAAACAATTATATATGGCAAATCGACTGAAGTACAGAGTACCTAATAAATAGGTTCCCTGGGAAAACCTCCCAGCTAACAGGTGCAGTGTATTATATGCATAGGGAAAAATTAAAATCATGGCAATTTTATGCAAAAAAGGACTTAACAGAACTGGTTTCTTTAATTTTTTTTCGCTTGGTCCCTTGTTTCATAACATCTTTTAATATGGCATTTAAACATCAAGATAAGAGACAAATAGAAAATTTGGAGAGCGCAAAAGATGGCGTAGCTCGAGGCATATTGGGCAATAACTGTAACCTCTTGCCACATTCTTCATTTCTCGATGGACCAATTGTTTTATAACATTTTAAACACTGTAGCTTGAATTTTAGCTAATACCGCTCAGGTAAAAGTTTCCTCTATTACAACTGAGTATCTCTTTGCGTTTAAAACTTTCACTGTAATACAACAGGAACCTGTAAGATACGCAAAATATCATGATTGCTCTCATTTAGCCTGGCTTTTTAGAGTAGTAACGATTTTATACAAGCCAATCTGACTGAGTAAATTCTTAGAAATCATAGTCCAAAAAATTTTATTCTTCAGTTTACCAACGATTTTCCCTGCAGCATGTTTTTGAACATATGCTATGACGGCCATAAAGTTTTCAGTTTTAATTAACCATCTGCAATGTGTACTTGCAAATACTTTTACAATTAAGTGCATCGTTTTGATGTCATGAAAATCCTGGCAGATTAAAGATTTTTGACTTTGCAGACCTTCGAGGGATTCTTCATACTTTTAGCGTAGCTAAAGTCGTGGATAACAAACTGAATCAGTCAATATTCACAATTCAAAGTAGGACGAATATCGATTTCGATATTAGGGTCTCGTATAGCGATTGATAGATTTTTAGTTAGTATTTTGAGAATAGCACCTTACTGAAAAAAAAAGTATCCCTGAAATTTAACTACAGTAAAATGATGATATGATGTACCTTTTTAGACGATAACTAACTTGACGAAAGCTGACAAAGCTTCCTAAGTACAATATATGGTGAGGACGATAAACTTTTGTCTCTTGTACGAAGTTTTCTAATGAATTATACATTAAATAGCTACATTAACATCCTTTTAACTGACAAACCAACTTATATTACATTTTGCATCGCAGCCAATCAGGTAGTGATTTGAGAGTAATCAGGAAACAGTATGAGGCTACTCTAATTAAAAGTTTACCTTTTCACTTTTCCAAGTAATGTATTATGTGGTTTATTGAAATTGTCAAAAAGCCAAATGTAATTTGCGTTACATACACGTTTCTACATACACTATTTTTTCCTTAAGATTATTTGGCTGATTACCTTTCAACTGTTTGTAATTATAATCTTTTATATCCTAAAAACCAAAAGAGTTCTTCTTTGAAAGCAAGATAATTATTCAAAAAGGAAAAACGGGTTAGTATGAAATTGCAATGTTTCTCTCTAAAGTTTCCTAAAGCTTCCTTAGCTTTCCAAGCCACTTTAGGAATCTAACAAAATAATTAGTCTATTCGTGGCCGGCTAAACTTTTAGGAAATTATTTGCAGTTGTGAAATGAAAACCAAACGAATTTATTTCGAAAACCTCCTACAAATGGCTTAATCATTTCTGCGGCAAGAATGAAATCGTGTTGACATTACTCTCTTTCACGAACTCTTTACAATGCATCAATTTGCTTAAAGGCTATTCATTATTTAACGTCTGGGAAGCAAAAACGAAATATTTATTAAATTTACGTAGTTCTGAAGGACATAGAGCTTACTCGCACGTAAACGGTACACTGTCACAACCAAAACTTACAATTAGTATGATCTCAAAAGAACATAAGTACTTCTTAACTACAAGGAAAATTGTTAAATGTCAGATATCTAGTAACAAGTACAGGTCTTGCAACAACTGATCTTTGACAGTTTCATCTGAAATTGAGTGTGCCAATATTTTATTTATGTGCAATATTTTCGTCCTTGTTGTTTCCTCTTGGACCAAGCAGAAGTCGTGCGATTTCGTAACACGAGAGCAAGAGATGATATCCTCTCTCAGTACATACAAAAACAGAATGCTTTTGACTTAGCTTCGCTTTATATGTCAATTTTTATACAGTCAACTCCCGCTATTGCAGACACCCCGGGAGGGGGAGGGGGGAGATAGATAGAAGAAAGTTATGACGAGGGTCCGTAATAGTGGAGTGCGAGAGAAAAAAAAAAAACCTTTTGTCTCTAAGCAGACGCCTAATACGCAAACATAAAGTTTTTAACGTGGCCTCACGAACCGGAAAAAGATCTGGCTACGAGCAGGAAATTCTCATACTCGCACCCAATAGAAGAAAGGGTTTCTTTGTTTTCCTTTATCTTAATTTCGCTTTTTATCACATGAGTCAGGATTTGGACGTAGTGCCCGCTATAGCAAGAGAAAAAACAAGGGAAATTTCGCGCTGGGAGCATAAAAGTGTCGCATTTCCGTGTCTGTAATAACGGGAGTTTACTTCAATCATTTCTTTATGCGTTTCGCCGGGGGGCGGGCCCTTGTTCGCAATGGCGGGGTGTCTGTAATAGCGAGGTGTTCGCAGGGCGAGAGTTGATTGTAGGTGTCCTTGAATTGCGAGTCAACTCGATGGTAAAAAGCTTTCCGCTTTCTTTCATAAACTTACCGTCCGTGAATCTCCAGTTACAGCAGTAAAAATGTTCATTGCATGCCGGGCGAAGACAGTCGAAACTGCCTTTTTTATACAATCCTCTTTTGGGAATGTTTATCGGGCTCATCTCAAGGAAAATTTTGAAATTCAACATCTGCTATTAGAGTGGATAGGCGAGAGGTCCTGATATTGTTTGATGTTGCTATCTCCTCAGAATTAAGTAGAAAAAAGATATGTTTACTTGTTTGTATTTTTTCAATGATGCGATTGATTAAAAAAATTGATAGGCTAAATAAAATACATAAAGAAATTAAAAAGTTTGGAGACAGAGGTACACGTAGATAATCGTAGATAATAAGTATCCGCATGGGAAACGAAGATTTGTTCGTTAATTTACACGAAAGTGGACGGCTGGTAGCATCTCAGTCTTATCGGCACGGAATATGCAAGAACTCACTTTGATCTTAATACTGTCGCATTTTTCAATCGTAATAAATGACATGCGGCTTGGGATGTTGAGCACCTGACGAGCAACATACATAAGCTTGCAACTAGCAGATATTCGCAAACATAGAAACTAATAACGCCTTCTCATTACCACGGTTTAATGCCCACTCCAAAGCAAACCTAAGAATAATTAGAAAAGTGCAACACTACATGTATTTCTCGTAGTATTTGAAGTGAAGCGCATTATATTATATTAGTACCGTTGATTAAATATCACAGACTCAAGGAACTCGTCCACCTCCTGGTCAAATCCTGTCGCAAGATGCACACTAGAGGCAAATAAAATAATATCAATTTTATTCCACCTAATTGCAAACAAACGAATTGCTAACGAACAAAAACCATCAACTAGTTTTTTTGACAAAACTTAAAAAGGATTTTTCAGAGAGAGTTGATGTCAGGCAAATTTCATCAGTGTCAGGATAGAGATGCCCTCGATGGTTAACAATTACTGACCGACACTAAAATGATAAATATTTTTAGTATATACCACACAGATGGCAAAAATTAGTTTGTTTCTTTCAATTTACCCAAAAAGGGTCGGAAATCAAACTACTGAGACGCGCGATTTTGTCTCATTGGCTGCTTGGAGGTAAATATTAGGTGCTATTCACTTCCGAACTAGCCAATCTGCGCGTGCGAAAAGCACTATTCACTTGTGTGGTGTATACTATAATTTCAACAATTGCTTTTTTTTTCAACTCGTAAAAAAGTAAACCCTCTGGGTAGAGCATTCCACTTTGCTTGGTACTCCCTTTTTTAGCCTGAGAAAGTTTACATGCCCTGATTAAATTGCGTTCAGTCAGCTATGACGTGAATATGAATTAGCCCAACTTACGCAGTCTTCGTAAAATTTGAATCTTTTCTTTTGAATCATGTTCCGTGGACACATCTTTCCCGTGGCGTCGTTGAGTTCACAAAGTTGACTCGATGAAATTGTAATATATTGATGATTGTGGGACGAACATCTCTGGTGCCTAATGCAAAGAGAATGGCAGTCTTGATGTGAAAGGACTTGGAAGGATGAAATTACACTACCAGTAAGGTTATGTCGTCAGAATAAGTGACAAAAAAGGAAAAAATTATGTAGTCATCATAATAAAATATATTTTAAGTCGTCTCAGATAATAAGCGCAGTGTGTGGAAAACTTTCATAGAAAAAAAAATTACTTCTCTGTTTATAAAGTGACAGAATATACGGCAATCTAGTTATCGTCGTTTCTTCGTTTTATATCCAACAAAATTTACTGAGCCTGAGGCGAATAATTGTTTCAGTATAATTGCTCTAGTGCTTTCGAATTCTTTTGTAAATTCCTTTTGTTGTTGAAACCATTCTGTTACAATTGTTCTGATAACTCGTGTCGAGATAAGAATTTAACAGGTTTATGTGAATCAATCACCAAAAACTTCATATCTTACTTTTGAAAAATGTAACGCAAAATTTAGCTCTTCAAAATACGGTATTTATTCGATTAAACGCCGGAGCGATTATTGAATTTTTCGTGTCGAGTGCGACGTTTATTCAAGGGCGGCGTTCATTTGAATCCGAAAAATAATAGGGTAACTGACCATTTTAATTTTTAAAACAGCAGAAACTAACCATTAGACAAGTCGTGGAACATCGCGTTTGAAGTTCCTCTGTCAAAGAATCAAATTCTATGTTAGCGGGACTTCAAATGCCGTGTTTAACAAATTTAGCCGAAAGATCTTACCAGATGTCACCATATCTAAATTGATTCAATATGTAATTTCTCAGTCTGTTGACCCCAAAATAAGTGTATTAACACGAGGTTTAATATCACACGCAAGGTATAGTAAATTAATGTATTTGTCATTGTGGTTTACCAAAGTTTTTCAAGGCGGTGGTGAAACAAATTTCGATGTTTATAAACCTCCACTTGCAAAGAATGGTGAAGGAATGTACTTTATTTGAAGGCATACGCACTGACTACGCGTGACTTCAAGGTATCAATTCCAATTACTAATTATCATAACCTACTATTAATTTCACTTTTCTTTATTATTGTGGGACAGTTATGTACTCGTGCTTAATATCTGTTTATTAAGCTAAAAACCTGTAGATTTTATTGAACTGATATAGTGTTCGTTCCTCAATCTGTTTTTTGTTTTCTTGGAGAGGCACAATTCAAGCGACCTTGATCTTGGCAGTTCTGTTCAAGACAATCTTCCGACCATCAAAATCCTTTCATTAATGGAGGGTGAATTCTTCTACTTTGCTTCTCCTCGGTTGTCGAAATTTATCTATTGTTATCATGCTTAGATTTATGTCGTGATCTTTCATTATCTTCTTCTATTGGTCCGTGTGTGTCCTTTGGCATATTGTGGTTTTTTTTTGTCATACAAATACGGCTTGTGGATTTTGTTTTGCTAGTATTTTTTTTAGTCATAATCATGCAAACTTAAAATTGGCAGAGGAGCAAAAAAAAAAAATTCATGATAATAATAAGGATAATTATAATAATAAAAGGCAAAAAATCCCAGTGAAGTTAACAAAATGCAGAGTGATTTTCAATTGCTTCAAATAGTATTGAAATAGATTTAATTTCCTCACTCGCTAGATCTGAATATCAACTCCCCTTACTGTTTACCATACCTTTCGTAAAGTTTTAGCTCTACACCTTGGTATTACTTGAAAAAATATCTTCCAATTGATATTTATGTTTGTTATTTCATCAACTTTCTGCTTGACAACGTTTGGATATCATAAGGACAAATTTCACGTCGGTCACTCGGTCGTCAAGCATTTGAGTTTTAAAGCATGGTGACATTGAAGCTGCTTATGCGTCGAAGGCGATTTTTTGTTAGATATAAGGAAACCTTAAAGGAATACTTTGCTTGAGCAGATAAATACT